ACATACATACATACATACATACATACATACATACATACATACATACAAGTACTATTGGATTCAACTCCGCGATTCTTGCATTTGGAAACACGCATGAATGAGGAGCCCCCATCCACACATCCAGGGACCACATCGACCACATATCCAGGTGTTTGGCCGTAGGGGGCAATGAATCTCAGTTGTAGGCCCTATGGAACCCTAAAACCATCCGCTTTGCTGATCATCTGCTGCCTGCGATTGGGACCTTCGATTGTGAGCTTGGGGACGCGTTCTTCATCCCAGGCGCAGTGAGCTCAAGGGATCGAGCTCGAAGGCCTTTGAGGGGCCGTTCTGGCCATTCTCCTCGGAAACGTGTTTCACATAGCAGCGACCCCTCCGGAGGTTTGCGTCACCACATACCAAGTGAGATGGCACCCATGGTCACCCAGAATGGAACCGAACCCCCCCCAACGACTTGAAAGCAAACGAACCGTTGTACCCAATGGGCACGCAAGCTTTGGGTGACAAAACGCAGCAGGGGAGGCATCACCTGTTCTATATTCTATAATCATTTTTGTTCGCTTACTGTAATTGATTGATGTGTACACTGCTGATCACTGGGTAGTTGTCCTTTACTACAGTACGGGTAGTGGGTCTGAGTGAGAGGGGGTCAGGCTTGGCTTGAAAGCAAGCTTCTCCAATGCTAGCTGATCCACAAGGCTTGCCGATCTTCGGCAAATCCATCCATAGGCCCTTGCCGTTTGGCAAAGGAGCTCTGCAGATCTAATCCATTTGTGTCTATGAGCCGAGAATTACATCCAATCCAAAGGGCAAAAGGCGAGGGCGAGCGCTATGTATAGGCATGTGTATAGGCTATAGGTGATGGCATGAAAAAAAGGAAAACATCTGCCCCTAACCTCACCGCCTAAGTACGTTCCCTCTAGGATCTTCCAAGACTGGATCCAAAATCCACTTGGCTTGAAAATGATTCGCGCCTGCAGTCCAACCTGGGCCAACTAATGCAACCACAAACTCAAACACTTGGTGGACTGAGTTGGCGAATCGTCACTGATCTACGGCAACATCTTATGATCATTTGGTTGCTTTTGGTATTCCTAGTTGTCTTTTTCTTGTTCCCAATCCATTCGGTGGTCTAACCCCTAGCGGCCCTAGCCGCCCCAGCCCCTGGCCAACAAGAAGGACGTCCGTCTGTGCTCAGACCGCATTGTCCTCGTCTGTTCATCGTGGCCATGGCCACCTCCAACAAATCTCCTAGCAGCTGCACCGCTACCGGCGCTGCCGCCCTGCGCGCCCCGCGCGCCCCGCTCGCACAGGCAGCGGCGAGGAGGTTCCGGCTGGCTGGGTCCAGGCCAAAGCACTGGAGGGACAATGCCCTCCTCCACTGGCGCTGCTGTGCACAGATCCCCAGCGGTGCGTTGAAGGAAAGGGTTTGGAGACCATGGCTCCAGAGGTGGGTAAGCCACCACAAGGACTGCCACCAAGATTGGCAGCTGGCCATGAGATTGCTACAGCTCAGTTCGACCTCGTCGAAACTGTGGTCCACATGTTCATGCCAGAAGAGTTTTGAGGCTTGCCGCCAGCGGTCTCGCAAGGCACAAATGGCCGAGGTTGTGGTGGCCACATTGCCATGCAGCCGCTGGCACCTTAGCATCTGCAGTAGGTGGAGCACACTGCCCCAAGCCTCCACCTGCGCCAAGGCGTTGATGGTGGAACCCCAGGAGATGATGTCTGGGGCCAATGGAAGGGCCCAGAAGAGCTCAAGAGCCTCTTCCCAAACAGCGCTCCTCTCCAGCGTATAAAGCAGCCCATTGCCGGTGACCCGTGAAGTCTCCAGGCCTTTTGCACACATTGCCCGCATCAACCATGCAGAGCTCGCCCAGGACGGCATACTGGGAACAGCCGAGTTGTAGGTGATGGTGCTACTTCTCACGCTCCAGCCAGCCGTCTGCCACAGTAGGCAATGCACATCTTTCCACGATGATAACGCGGCCAGAACAGCGTTGACTCCCACTGTGTCGCTCTGCAGCGCCCTGGCACGTAGCTCATTTAAGGATTGCGCTGAAGACCGCCAAAGCAGGGATCTCTGGAATGAGCTCAGCTGAGTGTTGCTGGCGATGGCGTTTAAGCGCAAACGTTGGCTCCTCCCACAGGGTGCAAGGAGCATATCACTGGTTTCCGGTGATCATTCAGGGGTCCAAACCATCACCCAGTAGAGGACCCTAAAAGACACCTCACCCCTGCTCCCTGGATTCTAGATCCCCAGATTCAGATGTTGCAACAAGTTGAAGTACGTAAAGTATGAAGGTAAGGGCCCCATTATATAAATCAATAAGAAGCCCACTATTAATAAGCTTCCCTTGAAAGGGGCCTTATTAAAGCGACTCTTACCTTCTTATGTTCTTTGCATTTTTCAATGGGGGGCGGGGGTGCTACTCCTTGTATACATTAGTACTGTGTTGTTTGTCTGTGATTTGGTTCTTTTTGATCTTTTTGCTTCTCGGGCGCACTTCATGACATCGACTCATTCTCTCGCCAGGTTCGGCGGCACAGGCTTTTCCCGTGCAGTCCTCTGCTCTGCGCAAGGAACCACTGCTTCGGCGGTGCCTCGTTGTGAAAGAGGAGACCTCTTTAGCACTAAAGCTGAAAATTGGTGCCTCATCTGCTTTCCTGCCGGGGTGCCAGCAACTGAAAGAAATGGTCTACCTTCTGATGAAGTCCTTCGACTGAGCTTTGCAGTCTTCCAATCACCTGTCCTTGCATCGCAAGGGTTTTCTCCAATTGATTGATCTGATCTTGGCGTTCAAAGTGGAGATCCTCGACCACCTGTTTCATCGTCTCCAGGTTTTCCTCTAGGACCTGTGAGTGCCTCACGCTGTGGCTTCGTGTCTCCAAATGCAGTGCCTCAAGCCTCATGGTGGATTTCTCCGTCACTGGATTCCCCACATCCAACAAGCACTCTACAAACTCTTCCATCCGAATCACATCGGAGTTGATGGCCAAAGTCTTCATGACTTCTTGCACATGTCGCACCGGCACTCGGCACATCTTGGCCGTTTGTTGCGCGTTGGAGGTGTTCTGCAAGAAGCGTACTAAATCCCGCTCCCTCACGATGCCATCCCCGGTGGTATTGATCTCTTGAAAGAGTTCCTTGAGGTCTTCAATGTGCCCCTTTCGGTCCTCTTCTTCCGACATGAGTTGGATTTCCGTCTCTTGAACGGCCGTCGTGGAGATCATATTCTCACTCACCACCGCGGTCAAAATCGACAGCAGAGTCCAGGAACTGGTCACCATGAAGAAAACAAAGGCAAATTTGAAGGTAGGGATGTTGCTCATAATCCGATCTAATGCTTCTGATTCTTCATCCGATTGCGCCCCACTCATCACCCGAAACAATGTGAACATGGAATCAGGGACGGTCTTGAAAGGCGAGATGAGTGCTTCGTCCACGTCCTGCACAGGTCACGCCGACCCAGGTCACCCTATCCGCAAAGTACGACTTTGGGTGTGAATAGATTCGGTATACACAGCCTCTCTCTACCCTCAGGTCTACCCAAACAACAAAAAACGCACCAGCCCCCACTGTTCTCCCGGTCCACCATTGCCACCTGCTCTGTCCTGGTCGGCGTTGAAGATCATCTTGTGGCCGATGAGTCGAGTGGTGAGGATTCCCATGGCGTACAAGGTCACCACTGTCAGCACCAAGACCTCGGTCAAAACCACCCGGGCGGCCCATGGAAGGCCCCGCCAAATCGCCAGACCAACAACGGAAAAAAACATAGCTTGCTTTGTAATCTTTTTGTTTGGTATGTCTCCACATCGTCTCAACATCGCTATATTCACACCAGAACACACACCCAACAGCTTTTTGGGCAAATGATTCAAGAAGCAACCTTTAACTTTAACCCAAGATCAGGCGTCCTTGTTGGCCTCACCGAGCTCCAACCTAAACAGTCCTCTCCTATATTTGTCCTTGTCTGCATATTGTGTAAAATGTCGAGCAAACATGAGCAAACAATGGAACCCCCCAAAGACAAGAAAGTGTTCGTCTGAGCCAGAGATTGCCTCTGAGTTCTCACAGACCGTCACATGTCGTACGCCGGTGAGGTACCATGCCGATTTAGGGAAATATCATAAATGCATTCCTCAGTCCATGTGACCTTGCGTTGGAATATCTCGGGGAACCAATAGGAATCATGAGCAATGTTCTCATTGTTTGGTTCATTCTTACCGCTCTACGATCCGAGGACCAAGACCATGTTCACATCTGTTTGCGCACCCAGGCACCCAAACCACGCCCTGCACAGCTGCTGTGACGCTAACCACCAGGATGTATAAAGGCCTCACGGATTTCACCAGCTTCGCCAAGCGCAAGATCCGCAACAAGCGCCTGCGAGGGTGCCACGCAAGGGCACGCTGGCAGGACGACGAAGCAAACGTGCTGATGGATGCTGGTTGTTTCGGAAGATAAACGCTTCCTTGGGATTCTTGGGGTGCCTAGGCTCCCCAATACCCACTCGTTGATTATCGAAAGGTTGTCGTAGGATAGGACGAAACGAGCATGATCCTGGATGAAACGATTCAATTATCGAGTCTTGGGGCGAGACCCTCATGGGTTCTGTCTGATTTTGTTCCTTGACCCTTTCATGATCCAACCCCAAGATGCCCAGTAGCTTGGAGACCCGGGGCCATGTGGCAATGACAGGGCGCCCGTTTGAAAAAGGAGACCATCACCCAACCAATATCAACCAATAGACTTTAGTCGACTCTTTCGTTGACCAGGTCTTTGGAGCTTCCCCAATTGAAATGCACAAGTCAGAAATGCTCGGGTGACTCACACCAAGTGGCAAGAGTCGCATTAGCATCATCAGTTGCCCCACGTTCACGCCATGAGCCTTGGTGCTGGTCGCATGGTCTGACGAAGAAGATCCTCAAGGAGGGCGCCCCTGCTGGGGAAGTCAAGGGTGAATCCCACAAAATGTTCCATACAGTGGTGGGGGCTGCACCCAAGACTCGGACTTGAGTACGCAGGTGGCACCAAATCGCAAACAATCATGGAAGTGGAACGTAGGCCTCTGAAGACAATTTTCCTCCACTAGGGGGTCCTGGTCAGCTTCAATGACTGTCGGAGGGAAGGTAGTGTTTTTCACCACAGTTGCAGGGGGCATGGCAGCTGTTTCCTTAGCCATGCCAACGAAGCTATGGGATCCAGCCGGAAGGGAATGTGGACGCACATTCCTGTACCTGCACCAACAACTTTTGATCACGCTGTGACTCCAATCTTTCCTGTGTGATTCCATGGTCCTTGATAGACCCCAAAACCTTTTCCCACCGCAGACTTGCAGCAGACTTGCAGCCGCGCTGAGTGTCCGATCGTTGTCGAGTGCACTTGAACACAAGTTTAAGCCATACTGTTTCTCGCTGACCTTTTCACCTTGCGTTTCCCTCACCTTCCTTCTCAACGTGGGAATTGAGTTAACAGCAAACCAATGTCAGAGTGTGAACCGCTCAGCCGTCCCACTTGGGTGCTGGGTGTGATCCTCCGCAAGGAGGCGCCGTCTCCATGCCGGAAATCGTGTCACAGATTCATCGTCTTTTCATCGTGAATCACGTTAACTGCCTTTGTCTCACTACTGAATTGTCGGAACCCAGAGCCGCCGGGCTTTCACGGATATTCTGTTTTCCAGACTTTGTATCGACATGTTTGCAAGAGCTTGTTATTCGTAATTCTTTTTGCAGCTGCACTTTCGAGTTCAAGGATGTGTCATCGCATTTTGACTTCCAAGCTGTACAGAAAACGTCAGTTCATCTTTCCACCATGATTCACCTATTTCACACTTCTTACCTTTCACTTTCACCATCGTGCATGAATCTTCGCCCAAATCATTTCACCACTTTCACGACTTCATTTCACGGGTACAAGTAGCAGAGACTTTCCGCTGCTGCCGCGCTGCGCTGGTGCCATTGAGCAGCGAACTCCTTTTGAAGCTACAGCAATCTGCCCGGAACTTTTGATACTACCAACACAGACCCAATGCAATATCCGTGGCCATACCCATACTTACCACATCAAGCACCGCCTACAACAGCACCGACTCTTCCACTCCCACAGACACAACCCCACATGCCCGCCACGATTTCACATTTACCAGCCACTCTGCCACACTTTTCGCAGCCAACCTGGCCGCCCCCACCTTCATTCCAACCACCACCACAACACTTACCTCCAGTCCCACAACATTTACCTCAAGTACCACATCATCACGCCATTCCGTTTTCATACGCACTACCTCCACAAGAGCCTACATCACCACATCCACCACAAGCACCTGTTTCGAACATTCCACCAACCCCACAGCAAGTGTCGCAGCCAGCACCCACGCAATGGGACTACAACCAAGGAGTTTGGCAACCATTTTCAGTTTTCACCAGTCACCCAACCTGGGCACATCCAGCCAAGCCAAGTTCCTGCAGCCGCCACCTCCGCCCCTCCTGACCCTTTGCCTCTCCCTGCAGCCACCACTGGCCCACAGTCACCCGCCTCTACAGCACCTTCAGCACCGGAAGGCCATGCCGCCGCAACACCTGACCAGACATCCTCGACTTCTTCTACCTCCACCGACCACACCTCCACCCACCACTCCAGCAGCTTCAGTTCAGTCAGACAACCCCCAAGGTACACGACCTTCAGCTCCACCACCTTCTCACCAAATCATATCAACACCACAACCACCGACGGCGCCCAAGCCTCCCAGCCGCCATGAACGCGGCCACCGCCGACACCATCACCGGCGCCACCGGCATCACACCAGAGGCAGACGCACTCACCGTCACCACCGATCGCACAAGCACCACTCATCGCGACATCATCGCTCGCGATCCCCTTCCCCTTCATCCTACTCTTCTTCTTACAGCAGATCACGCAGCCGCTCCAGACAACCCATCTCACTTCTCCCAAACAACGACTCACTGCCACCAGATGCTATCACGAACCAATCACAAACCAGCTATCCCAACATTCCAGCCCTCCGCCGGCCTGCAAAACCTTGGCGACCATCCACACAGTTCCAACAACGAACACCACAAGAACAGTTGGAACTTTGGCTTGACTATCATGCAGAACAACTCGACGCACCCAACAAAC